CCTGATTATGAACATCTAAGGCTTCTTCCCCAGTTTGGAGCTCAACTTTCTTTCCAGTTTTGTTTCCTGTCATAATACATCACCCTCACCCACCCCTCACCCCAACCTCCTGTCTCGGCCTTTCCAGCTTATTTGTCCTTCTCACACTGTCCCTCAGGCCTCCAGGCTCTCTTTCCTCTGACTAGACTGCTCCCCCATCGCATCTGCCAACTGAAGGTCAACCTTGGCTTAAACCTTCCAGGAGCATGATGTCGTGGGAGAAGGCAGGCATCATCAGGGCTAGAATATCTGGTTTCAAATCCCAGGAGTGTCACTTAAGAGCAGTGCCTCAAGCAAATCACAACCTCTCTGAGCCTCAGTGTCTAATTATATAAAATGGGAATGTTACCTGCTTTGCAGAGTTCGGAGAATTTGAGATAATCTCTGCAAAGCACTGGGCACAGAACCAGCCCCAGTATTTGCTCATTAAACAGTTGCTGAATTGATTCTCCATCCTCACCTTTTTATAGGAGGCTGCTTTTTATGTCCTCCTGATTCCCCAACCAAAGCTCCATGAGGCTGGAGACCTCGTCTCCTTTGTCTTCGCATCTGTGCACTTTCCCGTGTCTAACACAGTTTTGGAACACATTGATTGACAAGTGGTGGAAAGAACTAGGCACACCTGACCTGATGTTAGAAGGGAAGACATGGGCAGAGCTGCCTCCCAGTTGTTGGAAGGGCCAGTTTACCTGGTGTCACTCCAGAGAGGGCAGAACCACCATCAAGAGCTATAAGGAGACTGATGTTAGCCCAGGATGGGAAGGACTGTCCAACACTTAGAGCTGTGTAACATGAGAGCAAGTGCCAAATGGAAGCTACTTGCCATTAAGAAACTCAGATTGTAGAAGGTATCCCTGGGTTGGATGAGGATAAGACCGGATCGGTGATTCTTAACTTTGGAGAGTCACAGGTGCCTTTGAAAGTCTGATAAAACTTAAATGGATCTTTTCTAGAAAAATGGCCCAAAGCATAACAGTTTGCAAATCATTTCAGGAGCTTCATGGATCCTAGGTAAGGCTCACCTGAAAAAGCACCCTGCTAGGATGCTATGTTCAACGTTCTTTTTCATAATTAATAATGAGAGGCTCACTGCTGTTATTCATATCTTCAAAATTCACACCTCCCATGTAGAGGGCCAGCTTCATATCTAAACCTCAGTGCCCTTTGCCATGAATTCAATGCTCAATGGATTTTTGGATTAAGTGAATGAATAAATAAATGAATGAAACGATTGACTAGTCATCTTTAAGGAAACCTGTGTGCTACAAGAAGAGAAGAAAAAAAGAAAACAATGAAAGGTTGTAGAAAAAGACCAGCACAGGATAACAAAAAGTTAGAGATGATTAATCGGGTCAAAGGAGAGGATCAATTTGGGAAGGCCCAAACTCGTGGCCTCTGCCCAGGGCTGGGTCCCACTGTGAGCTTCTAAACCCAAGATTCCATGGGAGTAGACGGCGTCCTGCTGGCCCTGGCTGCCTGCCTTCCCAGTGACGGTGGCACATACCAGGGGCTACCAGGGAAAATCACTCGTAAGATCATGACCACATCCAGGTGATACTCTGATTTGATTCTGAAACCTCTTTCACCCTGTGAATTCAGGTCTTATTCTGCAATCGTGTGTTCTGTTATTACAATGTTCACACTTGGTAATGAGTAACTAAACAATGTATATGGAAGGATATTTTTTCCCTTGGAGTACCATTATTCAAAAACTAGTTGACTTTCGCATAAACGCCCATGACAGTAAGTCCCAAGAGGAAAATAGTCCAAGCACAGGAGGATTTCTAGTTTGATAAACTGAATTTAAGATTCTCCAGGATTAGCTGATCTTCTAGGCCGCGGGAGCGAAGACAGGCGTCTCTGCCCGGGGGGACTTCTGCCTCTCCCCTCGGCCGCCCCTCTGCGCTCAACTGGAGACGCTGCAGCTGCTGCGGGATTTCAGGAGGCGCCGCAGGCTTTCCAGGGCCTCGGGCAGCCCCTCGCCGGTGAGCGCGCTGCAGGCCCGCAGCTCCCAGCAGCGCCACTGGCACCCAGGCAGGCCCAGCCTGTCTCTGATCTCCGGCAGCGGCAGGGCGTGGGGCGCCTCCTGCTTGTTGGCCAGCACCAGCAGAGGGACGCCTGCCATGTGGAGGTCATCCAGGACCTCCGTGAGCTCAGCCGCTGCCTCGGGCAAGCGGGCTCCGTCTGTGCTGTCCAGCACGAACACGAGGATGTCTGTGCCCTCCAGGTAGTCCTTCCAGCTTTCCCTGAGCTGGCCCTGCCCACCCACATCCCAGACAGTCAGAGACACGTGTCCAGGCTCTTCGAGAGGCTCTACGTTGAAACCCACGGTGGGCAGGGTCTCCACCAGCTGGTAGCCCTTCAGTTTGTACAGGAGCGTGGTCTTGCCAGCCGAGTCCAGGCCCATCATCACCACCTGGGCTTCTGCCTTGTGACCTCGGGAATTCACAGGCCCCATGGGAGCCTCGGCCCAACCCTAGGGGAGAAAGGCCAGGTGCACACATCAGCCCTTCCTTTCTGAAGGAGCATAGATCCATGAGGGCACATGGAAGGAGAGCCTTTACACCCAAAGTAGGAAGTGTCCACCACATCAGGTTTCCCCACAGGCCTGGGCTTCGAAAGGGCCGGGAGTCGGGGTGTGTGAGTCACCATCAACAGATCCATCTCGGGGATGCCTGCTGCAGAGGACAGGGCCAGGCCTCCCGGGAGACACGGAATGTGGGCTCACATTCCTCGGTGGTTAAAGACGGGGCCCAACGACACTCTATTAGACAAACCCAGTTCAATAGAAGGGACTGACGGATGTCTTCGATTCTGGCTGGTCCGTGGCTTCTAGCCTCTGTGGTCCCCCTGTAAGCCCACAGCCCGAGTGGACACTGTCTACCTTAGGGCCAGTGCACAGAGGGAGGAGGACAGTTGGCTCATGGTAACTTCTGCTGCTTTGGAACTCCCCACAGGACCAGGCTGTTGTCCTGCAAACGGTGGCTATTTATTAAAAACTGCTGACTGCGGACAAATTTTCCAGTCAGAGAAAAGTGGTTGCCCCAGGGCCTAACCAAGATAAATTACTTCTAGAATATTACACTCGTTTTCCAAGAATCCCAGATTTTAAGACTAAGACCTGATCCCAACTTAGTCCAGGGAAACCTTGGCTGGAACAGGTGAAGGGACATCTCACCCCCAGGGAATATATTTCAGCTGCCCCTGGAGGAAGACAAGACAGCCTCTGTTCATCCCTTGTGCCAGGGGTAGAAGAGGAAAAACGACCATTACCTCGGTGTTATTAGGCTGTGTCCAGAAGCTCCCGCTCTGTGGCGGTCTCCTCCCTGCAGCCGTTCCCTGCTAAGACTGCTAAGTCTGCAGTAAGGTCCCAAGAGCGAAAAGTGAAGGAAATGAAGAAGCTGTGGCTGGTTCTGCTTTTTCTGCTTCCTTTTCTCGAGTGGGTGGGGGTGGGGCTGGTCCCCCGCCCCTCCCTCATCCTCAGGCTCCCCGAGCAGTGCTCCTGCCGGGGACACGCCACAAAGATGTCCCCGGCTCTGCAGCTCCAGACAGAGTGAGACCCGGCACCAGCTCCCGTTCCGCAGCAGCTCAGACCCTGTGCAGGAGGGAGGGCGCCAAGTTCAGAACTGTGCCCAAGTTTAGCTGTTTCTGGTCTTCTTCCCCTCACAGTCCCGTGATCCCTTCAGTGGAGACATCTGAGAATCGAACCTTTTCCTTCAGCCCGGTGTTTTTCTGGTGCCTGGAGATTCATTTGCTAGGAACCACATGTGCATAGAAGCTGCTTAAATAGGATTAAAACACTGAAAAAAAATCAATTTAAATGTTGAAGGCAAATCAAAATAGAGAGAGAGAAGGTAACCCATAGACATTTAAAAATTGTGTTAATATGGTGGAACTGAAGGTGATTAAGCTTATTGCTTAATTTGTTTTTCTTGAACAGTGTCATTATGTTTTTCCCAGTAAAAATGATACCTCTTGAAAATAAGACTTTCAAAAAATTGAATAGTCAGACACCGTTGCTTCTGTGGCTGTCTGATTCAGATCTGGAGTTCCAGGGATTTGGCTTTTTAACCGATAACTATTATGCTTTCTGGCACATTCTTTCATTAAGACATCAAGAACCACGGTGGGGGTTATGATTCTCTCGTTTTACCAATGAAGAAACAGGCTCAGACAGGATAAATAATTTGCTCATGATCTTGTTGAGATTTATAATTCATTTATTATTCATCTCTTTCTTTTACATCATGCAGTGTTACTCACCGAGAAAGTGCTTTGCAAATGGCAAGCACCTTATTGTTACGGTTGTTGCCGTTAGGCTGATGTATTTTATCAGGAGGAAGCGATTAGGAAAAATCAGAAACACCGGCACCGCTGTGTCATGCTGCTGATGTTATCATTGTTTTGCTCTTTTGCAAGCCTGTGGTTGTGACTGTCGTTCACCCCGGGCTGGGGTGTGTGTGGTGAGAGACAGAAGCATGATGGAAGGGATTTGGAGGTAGAAGTGTTGTCAAAGAAAAAGCAAAGCTGGACAATGGTTAAAGTGGTTTTAAAAATATATATATGTATATATATATATATATACATATATATATTGATGCAGGACTATTGCAATAGGGGAAAGAGACCTTCATACAGAACTGGGCTCAATTCTGAATACGGCATGGGCAAGTGGGGATTTATAGCCAAGGAGATGGGGTGGGGGAGGAGTGCAGTCAGTGGATGGAAAATTACTAAGAAGAAACATCAGGGGAAAGGAGGGTCCTGTCTAAACCAACCCAATAGGCTCTTCACTAATGACAGGCCAAGGTGATCAGACTTCATCTGGGGGATGGCGGAGGATGAGGAATCTGATCAAATAGTGAATGTGGAGATTCTGATTAAACTGATTTAGTAGGGTTTTTGCTAAAACTGGATTTTATAAGGAACTATCTGGAGCGGGGCTTGTCTGTCTCGCCCGTGGTGCTGGGCGATCAGATGAAGCTGGGACCCAGCCCTGTCCAGGCTGACGAATCAGTGGGAATCCTGCCAGGATTCAATTTGCAGGAAGATTGGGGCCGACAGAGGATAAGGACTCAGCAGGTAGAGGATAAGGGGTGTTTGGAGGCTGAGGATCCAGAGGGTGCTACTCTGGCCCTGGTTCCCCTTGTCTGAGCCTGGGGGAGGGGAGGGGACAGGCAGAGGCTGAAGAAGCCATTCACTCCGAGGCACCGCACCAGGCTGCCTGGGTGCAGAGTGCCCCCAGGTGACCCAGTGAGGGAGGAACCCTCCCCAGCTTCCTGCCCAGAGGATTCCAGGGAAGCCTGGGTCGACAGGGCCAGCATGAAGGCCATCTAGTGGGCTCTTAGAGAGACATCGCCCTCCAGGGTCTAGACAGGCATGGGGGGAGGACCCGTGAGCACTTAAATAAATGAGCCTTTCCTGAGGGCTAAGGTCCCTAATGAGCTGGAGGAGACCCGAGCCGGGGGAACCATGCTTACATTAAATAGGGTGTTAGTTCTACCCAAAGGCCTTGCGGACAGAATTACCTGTGTGCAGCCCAGCCCCATGCCTTCGGCTCAACAAGGAGGGAATCTTTTCATTGGGCGCCCTCGTGTGGGAAGCTTTAGAAGGGCTACTGTCCTGGGAGGCAACGAAGAGCAGAAGGTAACAGTGTGGGCTTTGATTTGGAACCCTGGGGTGGGGGAAACTTGGCTTTCACTACTTACTTGTTGTGTCACCCCATGCATGTCCCTGAACTTCTCTGTGCCTCAGTTTCTCTGTCAGTAAAGCGGGTGATGATTGTAATAATGGTAGCTAACTTAAAGGGTGATGGGGAGGATTACATAAGTTAAGGCACATCAGGTACTTAGCTGCAAATCAGGTACCTTGTCCCAGGTTAGTACCATGAAATAAGGAAGGGAGCCATCAGAAGGAGAGGTGTGACCTGAGGCTGCAGCTTCTACAGCTAACAAAGAAGAGGGGCTCTGCGGGGCTCACTGATACCAGGAGGGACAAGGGTCCTGTACCCCACCTCTACTGCCCCAAGAACTTCAGGCTTCCCACCAGGGCTGCTGAGTAGAGCCCCATGGTTCAGAGAGTGAGTTTAAAAGTTTACGTTTGCCAATGCTCATGCAGGCAGTCAGGACTGGAGGATCGAGGCACCCTCTCTGCACGCGCAAAGAAATGATCTATAAGCGGAATGCTACTTCTTACATTTCCAGTGGGATCTGCTCAGCCCAAGGTCAGGGACCAGCTTTCTGTGCAGCGCACCTGGAGAAGGCGGCGGGGGAGGAGGGGCACGTGGTGGATGCAGGGTCCTGTGTGAATCAGCCCTGGAAACCACATCCCTAACAGGCTATTTGGGCGCAATGGAAAGTTGGTGGTTTTCAAGGGATTGTTTATCGTGGAACAGAGCCTGGTGATGGCTTTCATTTCTCCTCCCTACAGGTAGGTCCAAAGGAAGAAAGTGCTAGAGTCAGGGCTTTGTTCCCCTGGAAAGTGCTGGAGAAATGCTGACAGATTCCTCCTTTCGAGACGTCCTTTCCTGGGCTTCCTGGGGCCTCCAGCTTTCTGTTTGTCTGGCCTCCTCTTTCCCTAGTCTCTCACTTTCTCAACTCGCACAACACTCAAGTAAATAACTGGTTTCCAAGGACTGCATCTTTCAAAGATCAGATTTCATTTATATTTTCAAGCTCTCCATACAAAATTCAAAAGGTACTAAGGGGGTGAGTGTCAAGGAAGTTTCCCTCTCACCCCTGTCCTCCAGCCAGGCCGGTCCTTTCCTTAGAAAAAATCCCCATCATCAGCTTCTTAGATATTTTCCCCAGAGATAGTCCTTGCACGTCTAAGCAAATATGATGCCTTCGTTTTTCATGTTTTTCCTTTTTTTCCCCCAAATGGTAACAAACTTTGAGGCATTTAACCTTTTGAGTAAATCTTCTCTCAATCAGAGTTTCTTAGCCGTGGTCTCCGTCAAGGACAGTGGGGGGCCACCCCCCAGCAAGGGATGCGAAGGAGCGTGTGACAGTTGTCTTTGGGGGTATTGTGGCGGGAAGCAACGCTCCAGCCATGCTCGAGGTGGGCATGCTTTGAGACGTTTAACTGCATCTATGACTATCCTTTATTGCACAACCCCGTGGAGTCCTAAGTAGTAAATCTGAATTAGGGGTGGTTGCCACAGGTGCAGTGTGTTTGGGGGAGCCCAGTTACAGGTAGCTGTGACCCTGGGTAGGCTTTCCCCAGGCTCGGAGAAAGCGGGCAGGCTGCACAAGGCCAGCTCTTAAGCTGAGACCAGGAACTCTCGGGGCAGCACTTGGGAAGTTTGGTGAGTGCACACTGCTGTATTCAGAGACTCTAGGCGCCCTGCAGTGCCCAGGATAATTCCACACAAGGAAGAACGGTTCTTGAATTTGAATTCAACTTTTGAACGCCACGGACATGTATGTCCTTTTAAAATCCCACTATTTTAAAATTATCTGATCTTAGAACCTAGTTTTGTTTTATATGTACGAAAACCCAGACAGTGTTCTGCAGTTTCACATACATTACGTTTTCCAGAAATGTCACGACTCTGTGAATTGAGGAAAGCTTGCACTTTGTTTGGAGCTTTAGCGTGAGCTCTTCACCATTGTAGAAAATCTCATCTCTGACTTCACCAAGCCTGCAGCATTGAAGTTGTTGATAAGACACAGGAAAACACTGTGGGAGGTGCCTTTGTGGCCATGTTATTTCTTCTGTGTTTAGGTGCAAGAATTTGTCAGCTTTGTTACCATGATTGTGCCTGAGCATTTATGATGGAAATAGAGATTCTCTTACTACATTTACCTTCCGTTTATTTATTCCTTATCTCTTAGCTACAGCATTATATTGATTTTCTCTCAAGACTATGTGGGCAGGTAGATTCTATTTCTGATTTTCATTTCTTGATGTAAATGGACATTATAAAATATGTGTTATATAAAACAAGAGGTGAGTTGCTGTTTGGAGCCCCTCCTACAGGAGGAGATATTTGGGTAGAGGAAAAGATAAGTGAGGGACCAGTCGTGGGGGAGCCAGGTAGAATGAAAATGAGGGACCCTAAATCAGAAGTCCTACATCATGACAGCCAGAAGGTTCATCTTGCTGTCTGGTCAACGAGGTCTGTTCCTTCGAGGTAGTGTGCTGTCTTATCCTATGTGGATCTTGGCTTCTGCCATGTCCTGTGAGCCCAGGGTGAATCAATAAGAAACATTCTCCAGAAAGTAATTTGTTCTGCCAGCGGCATGTGGAAGCAGTTTCCCTGTGTTCCCTAAATCCTGGGTGTTGGATGCTCTGAGCATCCTCACAGTGTCTGAAGAGCTGGACTGTCTTCCTGGTACATCTTCCCCACTGCCTGTGTGGAGGGTCCTGGAGCTTGGGCTCCTGCTGGGAGGCCTTCCCGGGCCACAGCTGCAGGCCCACGTCTGCATCTTTGCTGCCC